CGCCCTGACCTCCTGGGGCTTACAGACGTGTGCATCGCCCAAGGGTGCCAGCCCCTTGTGCCCTGCCCTGCCTGGCAGCGGGCCGGCAGGGTCCCACCTATGCACCGTCACCTCCTCCCCAGCCTCCCTCCCTTATCGCTCCCCGCAGGCTCTTTTTGTCTCAAAGGTCTTCCTCCCCTCCCCATTTGCTCTCCCAGCCCCTTCCCAGCCCCAGGGCATCCATGGATGCTGTCCCCAGCCATGGCAGGTGCTGAGGACAGTCCCCCCATGGCTGCCTCCCCTCCCTCCCCAAGCCCTTCAAGCTGTCTCCTCCACCCCGCGGAGGTGGGGGTTGAGGCAGGGAAAGACGGGGCTGGAGAACAGTGTGGGGTTGGGTTGGGAGTTAAATAAACCTAACTGCTGTCCTCTTACTTGTATTGCTGCAGCCCCCCACTTGCACCTGGGCATCATCGATTCTGAACACCCAGCGCCCGGGGATACCCACATTTGTCGTCATCTCCACGTCAGCGATGTCATCGGTGCGGGATCCGGGGATGTTGAAGTAGCGCTTTCCATCACCGGCGTTAAAACCTGCCTGGGAGGACAAGGGCAGAGGGTAAAATGACATCACTAGCGCACGGGGGAAGGCAGCTGGAGCACAAGGGCTCGTCTCTCCTGCCACTCAGTGCTGCCAGCGGCACCGCTCGGAACGACTGTCCCCTTCCATGTGTCACCAGCCAGTGCTCAGCCCTGTCCACGCGCCGGGATGACAGCTGACACGACGGGGTGAAGCGGCCGCTCTGCCTGCTCGGTCCCTCCCCCCTGGGATTCAAAACCCATCCGCTTCCTCTCCACCTGCAGCATCCTGCCTGCTGCAGGCTGGTGGGCAGGGAGCCAAGCACGGATCAACTGTCGATAAATTCACACCATCTGAATGGGTACTGGGGTTTTTGTGGGTGTGGGTGTTGGCTTTTTTTCCCCTTAAACACAACAACGTACACAAGGATGAAATAAAAATACAAGCAAAAGCTGTGCTGGCTGCAGCAGCTGCTCTTAAAGGCTGAGGTTAGGAAGGAAAAGGGACTATGAGGCAGCAGCCAAGGCAAAGACCTGTGGTTTCGGGATAACAAAGCCCCCTGTATGGTCTCAGCTTTGGGAGCCAGAGCACACACGGCTATTTAAGAACTTAAAAAAAAAAAAAAAAAGCAGGGGGAGGCTTTCCACCTCCAAAAAACCCAAACCAGGAGCCACGAGCTCACAGGGCAGATGCACTACCTGGGCGCCCCAGGGGCTGTGTTCACCACTTACCTGCGCCGCGATGCCGCCGAGCCCAGCAAAGTCCCCCCCACTGCTGGCGTGCATACCCGTGGTCCAGGTGATGGACTCATAGTTGAAGATGGTGAAGGAGAGCTTGCCGTCCGTGATGAGGACAATCTGGAAAGTGTTTACCTGCAGCAGGGAGGGGGAGAAAGCAGTGAGCGGGCAGGAGGGGGGCAGGCGAGCCAGCCAAAAACTGGTCAGAAAATAAAATGACGGAAAGAGCATTTAGCAAAGGGGTGTTTCTTTGAGCCCCAGTCCTTCTCTACCAGAAAAGGCAGTTGGGTTTAATTATTTTTAACCCTAAGGAGTTGTGATCCCCCTGCCCAGCACTCCAGCCAGCAGAACAGCTCACTTCTCCCAGGGGAACGGGAAAAATGGGGACAAATGTGGTTATCGGGCCTCTGGAAGAAAGGCACCAAACCCTGTCCAAGACCAGCTCCTCAGCACAGCCACAGGCAGGCAGGCAAATGCAGGCAGGTTAATGTTGCTCTGCTGCTGCCTGAGAAGGGGGATGCCAGTGATTTGCAGCCTCCACACGGCACAAAGAGTAGGGTTTGGTTTTGCCAGTCCGGCGCTGCTCTGTCACGGCAAGACATGGCAACGGAGCCACTGGGGTTGGTTTAGCCCTGCTGACAGCTCCGTGCTGCATGTGGCACCACTGTGGAAGGCACCAAAGCTCTGGTGGAATGCTCCTTTTTAAAAAAACCTACCTCTAAACTAATGGCTGCTTTGCCCCAGCTACTCACCGGTGAAAACGAACTGCCCCCAAAGAAGGTCACTCGGTACCAGGTGGCGATGAAGACCCACTGAGCGGAAAACCCCGGGAACTCGGGGAAATACTGCATGATGTCCCTGCTCGCTCTCTCCAAGATGGGCTGCTCAGTGCTCTCCCGGTAATACACATCACCCGCCCGCCGGTTATCCACGTCCGCCCAGAAAGCGGCCACCACGCGCCGGTCCTTGGAGATGGGGAAGGCCACTGGCGTGAACTGGGAGACCTCCTTCAGGAATGAGATGATCCCGTTGTTGTTCACCTGCGGAGAGGGAGGAAAAGAAACAGGCGGCCATGGTTGATTCCTGTGCCGGCAGGAATCCATGTTTTAGAGGCGCTTTCCATTTCACCTTTCTTTTTTTTTCCGCCCCTCTTTCCACAAATATTGGAGCGCTTCCCCTTCCTGCCCTTGGAAGCAGAGACGTGCCCTGGTGCCTGCAGCCCCCCACCCTGGCCGCTCGCTCACTGGAGTGTGGCTGCGGGGAGGCAGCTGCCTGAACAAACCCAGCCCTGTTCTCTGCCATGGCCGGGCCAGGGGAAGGGGGAACAGCTGAGAAAACTGCGGCAGCCCTGGCGCTTTAAACAAACAGCGCCCAGTGCGCTTGGCCAGCTCGCGCCTGTGCTCTTGGTGGGGACGAGGGGCTGTTTTGCTCGCTCCCTGCTCTCTTACAGCAGACACGTAGCCTGCTGGGCTGGAGTCTAGGACTGGGCATCGCTGCCATCCTCCTGGCAGGGGGGTCGTGCCTGAGCCAGGTGGCCACCGGCACAGGACAGGGGGAGACTTGCTGGACAGCAATCCATCCACTGGCATGCACAGCACTCTGAGTGAGCTAACAAGTGGTCGAGCTAACAGGCTCATGGTCCCCAGATGACCAAGTGCCACCATCCCACGCAAAGCCCCTGGTGCTGGCTGGGCCTCAGCAGGCTGCTCTTGTTAAAGCAGGGGATACCAGACACCCGGGTCAAGATACTGCAAGCTCTGAGCCCTTCCCCAGCACTAATTAACTGGGGCAATTAGGGTCCTGGGATGCCCGGCCCAGGGGTGCATGGCAGAGGCAGCCCTCAGCTCAGGGAAGGAAGCTGGAGATAGTGGATGCTGCTGCCTGGAGTGCTGCCTCCTGGCTTGGGGATGCAGTGGGAGTGAGGAAGTGGAGGAAACCCCCTGCCTGCACTGCTGCCAGAGCAGGCAGCGAGGTGGCAAGGATCAAAGGGAAACAGTCTCGCCCTCAGACCCCAAATTCCCGGGAGGAGACCCTGCCAGCACCCTGCCACAGTGGCAACCCCAGCAGGGCGGGCAGCTCCCAGCCACTCCATTCCCCTGCCTGCAGTGATGCTGCCCCCAAGTGACAGCAGGACAGGTAGGAGCACACAGTCCCCCAGCTGAGGTCCCTGGCATGCAATGCCAGCTCTGGCAGCACTGGCCTGGCAAGCCCCTGGGCTGCAGGGTGGGAAAGGGGGGGCATGGTACAGGCAAGAGGCTCTCGAGTGGAGAGAGCAGCCCTGGCACGCAGCAGGCAGCGGTAGGCAGCGGTATCACACTTGTGTGCTGACAAGTAGCTGGGATCCAGCATCATGCCAGGAGCCATGCTGAAGCCAGCGTGCCTGCGCCCCAGCTGCCCGCATGTCCACACTGGGGGGGGGAGGGGGCAGGCTGTGACAGCCATGTGCAGCCTCTGGGGAGGGTCCCCAGCCCCTCCATGCAAACATGGGGCAGTCCTTGCTGTGACTAAAGGGAAGAGGGTTCCTGTTTCCCAAAGCCTCCGTAACCCCATGGTGTCCGCAGAGGAACATTCTTCCCCTGATTAAAGCAAGATGGGAGAGAGCCGGAGCCAAGACGGGCTTTTTTTGTTGTTGCTGGTTTTTGCAAAGGAGGAGGGGGTGGTTGGAGGCAGCCCGCAGGGATGGAGATTTCCAGGTGAGCCCAGCCCTGCGCCAGCTCTCCCAGGACAACAGCTCCCCAGGGAGGAGCCCTGTGGCAGACGAGCTGGCCCTGCAGAGCTGGGGGGGGGGTCTCAATTCAGGGGGGGGGGATGCACCGCCCTCTGACCCCTGCAGCCCCTCCAAGACCCAGAGCTGTGCTGTGGATCTCATATGGGACAGCCATCATGTCACCTGGCTTCTTCCAGCCTCTTCCATCCTCCCACCATGGCTCAAGCCCCAAGCCCAGGTCAGGTCCCTCCCGCCCAATCGCAGGGCTGGCACTTTTATCAGGGGAAAAAAAAAAAACACACCAGCGAGGACCAAGGACCTCCTGCACTTAGTCAAGGCGGCAGGATGGTACACGAGCCCAGCTCCGAGATGGCACCAAGGTGATGCTCAGCCCTCTCCTCCTCCAGCCTGGTCTGGATCATCGGTCAGCATGGAGCAAACCAGGGAGAAGAGAAGGGACCAGGATGCCAGATGATTCACTGCGCCAGGTGGGAGCCAGTGTGGGGAGCACAGACCCCACCCCAGGACGCAGGGCAGACATTTGGAGCCAGCACCGCCCAAAAGGCTCCAGGGATAACTGGGCATTCAGGGCTGCTCCTCTTGCCTGATGGCCACAGCCGTGGAGGACACAACAGGCCAGGCATGACTCGAGCTCTTTGGCCACAGTCCCCTCCAGGTGGCTCGGGGGCTGCAAGGGAGCACGTCAGCAGGGGTCCCAGCGGCCCAGCCACCCCAGCGGGTGCAGCGAGGAGAGGAGAGGAGAGGGAGCGGGATGTGCCAAGTGGCCAGCCAAACCCACTGCAACACAACCCAAAGGGCAGCGTGTTTATTCTGCATCACACCCAGAGCCCTGCCGCCACCTCCTCCCCAGTGAGGGACACCATCCAGAGGCAGCCATCCAGGGGCCACGGCACACCTGCTCCGCGCTCTCCGCCCCGCGCCCCCCCCCCCCGGCCGTCCCCCGCCCCCCGCCACTGGGACCCCCGCAGCATGCCACTGTGAGGGCCAGTCCCACGAGGCATGGGTATTTCTGGCTCCAGCCAGGGCTAAGCCCAGGGCTGCCCACTGCAGGCGAGTGCTTCGTCCAGCATCCCCAGCATGGCGGGGCCAGGACCCTCACCCGGGCCAGGACCCTCATTGCGCCACCCGATACAGCCCCAGCCCCCCTGAGCCGGGGGTCCGGCACGCTTCCCGAGCCCGAGGCCCTGCCAGATCTCCCCCCGCCCTCAGCACACCGTTATTCCTCTGATGCTCCGAGTTAAATGGGGACTGGCTGATGGCCCCCGTGGAAACCCAGATGCACTTGGATCCATCCGAGCAGGACAGGAATTTAAAAAAATAAGATGAAATGAAATTAAATAAAATGGGAGGCCCCAGAGGAGGCCACCCCCGCTGCCCCCCGGTACTCACATAGAGGCCGGTGTGCCCCGCGCCGAAGAAGGGGAAGGGGACAGAGAGGGGCCGCAGCTCGGAGCCGCCGTCGTCCTGCGTCCGCG